AGAAGGCTCCAGCTCTTCAGTTTGGAGACAGAAAGGCTGAGAGAAGTTAGGAGTGAGGTTTATAAATTCTTGAAGGTGGTGGATAAGGTGAACATAGATCGGTCTTTCACCAAATTATGCAACATGAAGCTGAGAGCTTTCCTCAGTTATTGAAGAATTGTCTTCTAAAAGGCTGGCTCGCTGCCCACTCCTCTGATGCCATCCCATGGACAATGCACTCGCAGGTGGCCCATGAGGAGAAAGGACAAATAATCCAGCATGTTACAGTTTAGGGCTGGTACCCACTCCTGCTCTGGAAACCCCCAGTCTTGTGAGGTCTCTGTTCCGCCCACAAGGCAAACTCCCTCCCTTCTTACCTCCTTGACCCCCCCTGAAAGCTGTCACCCTAGCAGGGAGAGGCTGAAAAGGTGACAAGCTAGCCCAGCACAGACAATCACTCACCAGCTACTTAAATAGCAGCTGTGGGGCTCTTTTGGGTGAAGTAGTTGCAGAACAGGGCCATGAAGTTTATTGCCTGGCTAGCTTTGCCCAAGGGGTGCTGCAGCATACTTGAGCCACCACAGCATTTCATTAGCAGAATGAATAAGAACAGCTGAACCAGATCAGAATAAAAGACCATTTAGTGCTATATCCAGGCTGTGAGACAATCCAGTGGCAAATTCTTTGTGGAAGATATAAGAGCAAGAAAGTATGTAGTAAATCACCCAAGTATTCTTGTAGCTTCCAGCAGTCTGAGACAGATGCTGAATCTTCATATTTAATAGTGCTTTTCGTCTGCAGAGTCTCCATCCTGTTATTTTATGAAACCACATAGTCTCCATCCTGTTATTTTATGAAACCACATAAACATTTATTACCCACACTCTCCTGAGGCAAGCTGTTCACAGCTGAAGGTGTGCTGTGTGAGGAAGCCTTGTGTTTGTTTTGGACCTGCCTCTAGTTCTTGTGTCTTGTCTTTTGAAGAAACAATGAGAAGTAATTTATTTTCATCTTATTTATTCTCCTCAAGGTTTTATTATACCTATTTTTTACAGCTATTACAGCTTCTCTCCTCTATCATCTTTTCTTTAGAGAAGAAGGCAGTGTTGCAGGCAACCAGGAGCTCATGTCACTGGATATCTTTCAGAGAAAATCTGGCAAAAAGAATTTTCCGGGAATGATCTTGGCTTGTAACAGCTCTGAGGTAGGCACTGGGAAGCACGAACTGGCCTCAAGAAGGGCCTCTTGGCACCCTAATGATGCAATGCCCCTGGCCACACAGCTCACCTGTGTGCCCCCAAATATGCATCCATGAGTGCTCCAAGCACCCCACCCACCCAGATCTATCAGAAAGCAGGTGCTTGCTGCTGGCACCCCATGGAAGGCATCCCCCTTCCAGTTTTGTGGATGGCCTCAGGAGAAACCCATGTGCAGTGACGTATCCACACTAGGGACAATGTCCTAGCAGCAGTGGTCCCTGGGGCTGGTTGGTGGAAGATGCTTTGCAAGGTGCTGGCCTGCTACCCCATGCAGACAAAGCTGTAGAAATGAGTTGAGGTAGCACAGGAGGGACCAGCCTTCCTCAGGGAGCAGGAGCATTCTTTGCCTTCCAGCCCATTGCTAAAGGCAGACATGAAGCTGCTGAAAAATTGTCAGGAAGGCAGGAGTCATGGTTTTTCCTTGCCCCAAGGGCACTTGATGGCTCTGACCAGCCTCACCTGCAACCTTTGTCCATGGGACTAGAAACTCCAGTCCAACCTGCCTGGCAATCATTGGTCTGTGTCTGGCACTGGCTACCACCACCAGAACTGACACTCACCTGCAGATCAACTTCTCAGCTGGACCTTGGACCTGCTTTGTCACCACAAAATCACCTGATGATCTGGAGTCTCAGCTGAACCTGAATCTCGTTTCTGGGCCTGCCCTGCTCCCATGCTGTGCTCCCACATTGTTGGACTCTGTGGGACAAGACCTGACTGGCAGGCCCCTGCTCTGCCAGCCTTGTTATCTCCCTTGTCTCCTGGCTCACTGTCACTTAGAAGCAGATGCCCCCGCTTTGTGCCCTGACAGAGGGAAGTCAATGAGCTTCAGGGAGAAGTCTGATGTGCATCCTGGATATTGGATATTGTATATTGTTTTAAATTCTGGAGGACAGGCTGGAAGAGACCACAGTGGAAAAGGGCACTGCTCCAGCATTGCTCAGAGGCATCGGGATCGGTACTCATTAATCCCAATGGAGCAGCACTGCCTCTTGCAAGCACTCTGCACTCAGCACACTCAACAGCAATGTGGAGTGTGTATATTGAAAAGAGACTGGTCAGGGTGCTTTGGAGCAGATATGGTGGTCAGTGGGTGACCAGAGGTTTCGGGAGTGAAGGACTCTGCCAAAGTTGGGGAGCACGGCTGGGAAGCACCCCTGGGTAGCAAGGCCTGGGCTCAGGATGAGCATGTTTTGTTAGCTGGCAGGCGAGGTGGGACACTGTACCGTGCTGTCAGGAAGGCGGCCAGCAGATTCCTCAGTGATGGGGTAGCTCTGAATGACCTCAGAGCACAAATGGTCTGCACAGCTGGTGGACTCCTCTGAGCACCCTGCCTGTGCCGAGGAGAGCTCAGAGCCCCAGCTCTCTGTCCAGGAGGCAGCCCTCACCCTGCAGTACCCTTCAGATAGGCTTGCTGAGGAAAGTGTTCACAGAATTATTAATAGAAGAAGTAGGAAGGCAATGGGGAAAGTCAAAGAGCTATTCCCACCCCAGCATTGGGCACAAAGCTGGTTCTGAAAAGGGCTGAGCAAAATTGAGTGTTGGAAATGATGGGATCATGAGTGGCCTTGATTTATTGCAAGATTCTTTGTGGGTCTGCTTATGGCACTGAAGGCAAATCGTTCTGCATGGCTGGAGACAGTATAACCTCATGTCGACAGCCTAAGACTGACTTTCCTAAAGACAAAGACGATCTTGGTTACTTTATATTTTCCAACTCTGCCAGTGTTGACTTTGACCAATACCGTGGTTGCCAGGAGGACAAATGTGTGCAGTGGGGATGAGATAGGTGTGGGCATTAAATTACAGAGGTCCTGAAATGCACAAATGCTGACTTCACTAGTAGGACAACAGGCCCTAGGACCTCCGACAGCTGCTCTGTGCCCAGTCCTCAGAGAACAGAGAGCAGGGAGTGTCACACGCATGTGATGAACAGTATGTGATATTTTCCCTGTGTTCTGGGAATGTATGGCAAACCCTGCAGATGTAGTGTCTGATGAACTGCAAGTAGGGGGCAAGCCCTCAGCCAAATTGCTACTTGTTGGTACACTGCAGGTAAGGCTGTGAAAGAGTTATCTTCTTTGAGCCAAACCACTCAGCAGGTTCCACTCTCAGCA